TATTTTTTCATGAGTATTTCAGCTGAGACAGCAAGAATCTCAGTTCAACTTGTCTTAAGAAAAAGGGGCATATTTTGTTTAGCTTTAAGAAAAAAGAGTATTAATGCTCCTAATGAGACAGAGGAATGTGTCTCCAGTTCTCAGGCAGTAATATGTGCTGGCTTCATTCACAGGTTGGCTTTCCCCAGACAGAGGCAGAGTTAGTCTTCACAATCTCTAGATGGAAGCCCTACCACTTAAGTAGCCCTAGTGAAAGGCGTACAGAACTTTCCCAACAGTTCAAAATAACTTCAGGGATTGTCCCCATTGGAACAAATGGTCTACTTTGGATTAGTCTTGGTTTCGGTCCATCAAGAATTAGTCTCATTGGATAGGGGGAGACAGTATTGTCATTGCCCATTGGTTGGGTTCCCAGGTCCCCATGAACCATATCCAAACCACATGATGTGTGAGTGAAAGAGGGGAAGTATCCCAGGTGAATTTTAGGATGTTTACGAGGAGGATGGATGTCAGGCAAATAAAAATAATAACTGCTCTTTACAAATATAAATATACACCTGAAAGGGGAATCTCTGGTGATTGGTTCAAAGATGTGAGTTGAGCTGTAATTTTAAAGCGGCTTCAACTTGCATAACTTTGTGAATATACTAAAAACCGTAAGACTGTACAGTTTAAAAGGATGGGTAAGGCGGGGGGAATTGGAGCAAGTGGTAAAAAGTAGAGACTTCTAGTTATCAGGCAAATAAGGACGAGGAGTGTAATGTACAACATGATGATTACAGTGAGCACTGCTGTATGATACGTGCAAAAGCTGGTAAGAGAGCAGATCCTAAGAGTTCTCATAAGGAGAAAAATATTCTTTTCCTTTTTCTTTTTTTTTCCTTTTTCTCATTATCAATATGAGATGACGGGTGTTAACTAAATTCATTGTGGAAATCATTTTATGAATATGTAAGTCAAATAATTTTTTACTGAAGTATAGTCAGTTTGCAATGTTGTAAGTCAAATCATTTTGCTGTTCACCTTTAACTTATACAGTTCCGTGTGCCAATTATAATCTCAATAAAAATGGAAAAAATGCCCATCAGTAGAAGTTTTTAATACATTAGTATCATCAAAGACTGCACAATGATACAACTTGTGTTTTATAAAACTATTTAATAACATAAAAAATTAAAAGATGACTTTTATGTTAAGTAAATTATATCTCAATTTTTTAAAAAAAAGAATATAAATTCTGACATAGCAGGTACTCAGTATTAATTTTAAGCACCATAATTCCCAACCAAGAGTTTTATTTCAAGGGGAACCTGTGGATCTTACCCTACCCAGCCACTGGAAGTCTATGTAATGTTTCTTCTCTTTGTCAAACTTTGTCCATAATTCTGCTCCAGCCTTTGGGCACACCTGGAGTGTCTGTGGCCACAGTTCCCAGGTCACATTGGACTTTTCCTTCCATCCATGCTTCACTGCACACCACCAGGCCAGGTGGATGTAAAGCACCCTAAATGTACTTTCCCGTGGTGCCTCATCCACCATCACACCATTACTTCCACCTGAATCTGAATGTCTGCGCTCTGCATCTTACCTACAAACGCTGAATCCACTTCTGATTCAAGATCGTAACCTGAACTGAACTGTTCCCCTAAGGCCCAGTCTCCCAGTCCACCCTGAGATGGGTTTGCTGTCACCCTCTGTTTCACAGGTGTCCTCCGAGGTGTCACAGTGTCATGAATTTGAGCTTCTCAATGACACCCTCATTCAAAGTCACATGCATTTGTGATAATAAATAGTCATTAAATGACCTCTTTGTGCAAAATCAAGTTTACTTTCACAACGGACATGTTATTATCTTTATTTTGTAAATAATATAATTGCAGTTATGATAGTAAATATTCATTAAATGCTACCACTTGGTATATTTCCACAGAGACTTCATTCTGTAGGAAAAGAATATTCCCTAATAAAGTTATTACTCAGCATTATATTTTTCTGTACTCTGTGTGAGTGTTCTGTACTACTAATAATGGATATTATTAAGTTTATTTTACAAATACGGAAATTGAGTAGCAAAGTTAAATGACTTGCTCATGACCGCAAAGATTCAAGGAACAGAATCCCCCTCAGCTTTAATCCTATCAAAATACATGCTGCCTGCTGTCTCTACTTGCATCTTCAGCTTTCCCACCGCAGTCCAGACCTTCTCTTGGATTCCTTCTCATTCTTTCAGCCTTAATAAAACATCTATACAGCACTGAGCACAGTATCTGCAGAAAAGAGGGATTATTTTAATGACGTCCACACAGTCACTCAACATGTTTTACAATTTTTTACTTTTTTCCTGCATATTAACTCTGCTATCACAGCCGTTAAATGAAATGAAGTTATATAGTTGTTTCCACCTGATGTCAGTGCTTAACTGTGATTTAAATGTATTTATTTTTTACTATCATTTAAGATTTATTGTAATGCTAATTACTCTGTGAATAGTTTAGTTGATATGGTATAGTATTATATATGATTGAAATTGGTTCAATAATTATAATATATGAAAATAAAATAACTGATTTTCATGTATTCCTTCTGACTATATCCAGGTGGCACTTTAGAAATGTCTCTCCCTAACCTTTACTCTAGCCTGACTTGCTGAAAGTTAATACTTGATTTCATTTTATTTCTGTAAAGAACTCTAGTAAAAGCATTTATGACATCCTGACCTTTTTGTCCTAGTAATGTACTGACAATAACATTCCCTTCTTATAATGGCAGATAAAGAAGTCTGGGGACTAGCCAATGAAGACAGTATTAAAGAATTAACAGCAAATTATCCCGAGGAAGTAGTAAGAGTCATCTTTACTAATACATCCTCCTATAATTTGAAATTCTTGCTGGGACACAGAATTCCAATAAGGAAGGAATACAGGGACCATACAGGTAACCTTCCAGAGACACAATTCCACCCCTCTCTATTGCAGTTGTGTCACAAACCACGCATGAGAATAGATGATAGTACAGCAATTTTTAAAATCCCTACTTGCAATGGTGAGGTCAGAAAGCCAATCAACACATTCTAAAAACGTACATTGATTTTTAGGTCTGTTAAAATATTGTATGATGTGGTTGTCATATATGGTTTTATATATCTTATGCACATTATATAGTTATATATACATATGCGTATTATATACATGCATGTATACATTTATGTAATATGTGATACGTGGCTGTAAGGTATTATTGTTAAAGAAAAATGAAGCTGTTTATAGATAAGATAGAACAAACTTCCCTTTAAATGTCTGAGTAAGTATACATGAAAGTAAGGGAAATTCCCAAGGGCTCAAAATGAGAAGGAGATCAAAGCCAAGGGGCTAGATGGTTATCAGTGCTTTAGGATTTTGCCAATCTCAGTAAGCAAGAGATTTGGGTTTTAGTAGCTGCATGAGGACAGGTGAGAAGATCTTAGGTTTACATGAGGTGAAGATTCCTGTATTAATTTGGAACCTGGAGAGGCTATGTACTCAGTGAACAAGGAGACAAGAAAATAAAAATCACCTGTTGCCAAAAGAAGAGCAAAAGGAGGCTTCGTGCCTCACCATGGGCTCTGGATGACAAAAAGAGAATTCCCCTTGGAGAATTTGTAACCCATCTTTCCTTGGGTTTGGGGTTCCCATTCGCCTCACCTGCCTGGTCTGGGAAACCCCAACTATAAATAAAGTGATCCTGGGTCGGCCCAGCTACTGAGGTGCTCGGCAGAAGAAATTATAAATCTTCTCTGGGAAAGCACAACCCCCAAAATGCCACGAAAATAAAATATCTCTGAATGTAAGTTCACGGTCCAACCAGAGAAGACAAAGGTCATAAATGAGAGTCAGGAGAACCAACGAAGCAGAATACATCTTTCCCAGTGGAATTTTAAAACTGAAAATATAAAATAAGCACATCTAAACGGTTAAAGAGAAAAAAGATAAAGTGAAAAACACCAGAAACGGGAAAATACCACAAGAAACAGGAAGTGCTAGCGATACTTGCTTAGAAAATATAATTTTTAAAAGATACAATCAACTAACCAGCTAAATAATAGACAGTAGCAACTAATGACTCATCTCAGAGGGAAAAAACAATTCCAAGAAAGATCACTATTATGCAAAAAGTATAAAACTTAACTTTAAAAGGCCCAAAGAAATGGAAGGCTATGCCACATTCCTAGAGACTTATAATATATTATAGAAGTATTAGTTTTCTATGGCTGCATGACAAGTCACAAGCAGTGCCTTAAAACAATATGCAGTGGTTAGCTTACAGATCTACAGATGAAAAGTGTGGCAGGCTTGACAGGGTCTCGGCTTAGGACCTCACCAAGGCTAGAATAAACGTATTGACCAGGCTGAGTTCTTATCTTGAGTCTCTTGAGAAGAATTCACCTCCAAGCTCATTCATGTTGTCAAAATTCAGTTCTTTGCAGCTGTAGGGCTGAGGTCCCCATTTCTTTCCTGACTGTCAAGTGGGGTTCACTCTCAGTACTCAGAGGCAGTTCTCTGGTTTTTGCGTGTGAATTACTCCATCTTCAGAGCCAGCCATGGTGCCATGAATCTCCACCTTCAAATCTCTCTGACTTCCCCCGTCTGCTGCTGTCTGGAGAAAACTCTAATTTTGAAGAGCTTGGTGATGAAATTAGCCCACTTGGATTATCTGCCTATTTGGGGTTAACTGTGCTTTATAATATCATAGAATCATGGGAGCGACATGTATCATCATATTCATAGGTTCCACCCACACACAAAGGAGACAGGATCATACAAGAGTGAAAGTCAATGGGGATTATTTTTAGACTTCTGCAAAATTTAGATGTGAATTCCACCCAGGTTTCTTAGGGACCTATTGTAATTCCAATTGAAATCATAAGTCTTCATATAAATTGACACATTCATTTTAAAATTTACCTTTCAAAGAGACAGAGACTAGCCAAGATGCTCTTAAAAAGAATGGTGTTAAAAAAAAAAAAAAGAATGGCTAACACACTGAATCACATTCCTGCAATCCTGCAATGAGGTTCTATACAAATGTAAAAAGAAGAAAAAAATAGGGCCATTTATATAAATCATAAGCATAATATAGATCAAATGAAGCAAAATGCAGAATGATGATTATAATGAAATATAAAATTTAAATAAAGTTAAAGCATTTTTTAAACTGCATGTGTAGTTTACAGATACATGGTAAAAGTTTCAGAGTTTGCGTATAAACACAAGGTTAGGGCCTTGGTGCCAGGAAAAGTAATAGATTGTAGACAGTACACAGGAGATTCCAAATGAATTTGTAATGATTCCTTTTACAAATTTGGCCATGGGTACATATATGTTTTTTGTATTGTCTTCAGCATATGTATATCTGAACTATTTTGAACTGATTTTTTTAAGCATTTAAAATTTTAATGAAAGATGCATTTAATTCCTGTGGTCAACTTTAATTTTTGTATTAAATAATCTCTCTTTAATGTAGTTTAATACTCAATGGACTGGTAGGCTTTTTAAAATAAATTTTTCTCCAAAAGATATGTTCCAATTGACATGATTTAACTATAGTAAGTTATCTTATCTGAACGTCCTTTTGCCTAAAATGCCTGTGTTATAGCCAGTGTTAGACAAAACTTTAGTTCAGTGTTTCTTAATCCATACCAGACCCTACTAACTTTTGAAAAACATAAAAAAATACTGTTTTCACAACACGAAAATCAGAAAAGAGAAGACCTCAGCCAAGTTCTTCATCGGCAAAGAAGCACAGAAGCAAGGGTGAGAAAGCTTAGAGCATGTGTTATAATTTTATGCAGAACATTTCCTAGGCGTGTTCTGCCCACTCGACTTTGAGAATCACAACTGTAATTTATATTTTCATAGGCTTTGGGTCAAAATAAGAACATTCAGAATTTGAGGCCATTGTAAAGTCCACTGTTTCTTATAATCAGGATTGAAATAACCCATAAAGATAATCATGGTTTTCTTCTTACCTTAAAGCTCATTGTTATGAAACGAATGAAGAAATTGACTGTGGAGTTTTGAAATTCTGGAAGAAAGGTTTTGTGGCTCTTCAAGCTGCCATTAATGCTGCTATTATAGAAGTGAGTACAAAACATCCCGTGCAAACTCCTGTTCGGTTTAGATGAACAGTATCAGAGGCATCAAAAGTTTAGGGAAAGAAAATACAAACTGACAGCCTTGTTTGTTCATGTACTCACTGGCTTCCTTGCAACAAATTTACTTAAGTTGCCAAGTGCCACAGTGGATATAGACATAAATAGGAGACAAAGGTTCTCTTCCAAGGACTCCACCTTGTCAGGAAGCCAGGCACATAATAAGGAAATTATTAAATTAGAGGTAGGCTATCACAGAAGAGCAAACACAGTCTTTCCTCGTTGTCGGCGGAGTACTGGTTACAGAACCATCTGCTGATACCGAAATCCGCGGACGCTCGCGTTCCTTACACTCCGCCCTCCATACCTGCAGGTTCCTCCTGCAGCTCCATGCTCGCGGGGTCCGCAGGCGCAGATTCAGTCAAACGCAGATCAAGAGACTGACCCTAACGTCCTTGTAAGTGTGTAAGCAAACGATGCTCAGCCTAGAACGCCGCGGAAGAATTCCTAATTGAAATAACATTTAAAACTGAA